CGGAGGAGCGACACGTAGCGCGGCCGCAAGCCGGGCCTCCGCCAGCACCTCCAGCCCCGCGCCGCCAGAGAGGAGGGGGTCTCCGGCTCCGCGGGCTCGAGCTTCGCCCTCTCCGTGCGGCCCCCGGACGCCCGGCCACCGCCGGGCCGGGGTGTTGCGCCTCTCCGGCCTCCCACGCCCCGCCTGCCCCGCGCGGGGTCGGAGAGGGAAACCGAGGAGCCGGGGATGCTGCTGGGGAATCCCGTCTCCACAGACTGTGCAAGGTCAACCGCCGCTTCACGCACCACCCTCGTCCTCGCCAGAGTGCACGACCGTCCCTCCCCAGAGTCCGAGGATTTGCAAAGAGAAGGGGAAGAGGAGTGGGACCCCCGCCGCCCCGCCTGAGAGCTGGTTTTCTGGCGGCCGCGACCAGAGAGTTTGAGGGGAGAGGTGCGCGCGCACCTCTGCAGCAGTCGTGAAAGGACTTGAATTGTCCAGAGCAAGGATGAATGAGATGTCAACGTGAGAGAAGGCTTTCCCTGCTTCCTGGCGGTCCTGAAAGGCGAAGAAGCCGGGGCGATGAGGGTGACGTCCACCGCCCGGGGGCGGCGGTGTCGGGGAAGGGGGCGGCGGCGGGGCGGGGGGGGAGTGGGGCGGCGGCGGGAGCCAGTCGCGCGCAGCTGGGCGCCACCGGCAGGTGCGCAGCGCGCGTGCGCGCCCGGGCTGCCCCCGACTCCGCGGAGTGAAGAGGTGGCGGCGCGCGCGAGGCGGTGGATTTTGAGGCTCCCAGCCCGGCAGAGTGCAGAAGTCCCATCTCCTGGAAACTTACGGTGGTTTTATTCAGTGTTACTACTAAGAAGTCATTTCATCTTCTGTAACTAGACTCAGGGAGCTTAAATAGCCGGTTCTCTCTTCTCCTCTCAAAACTGACTTACTGTTGCCCCCACCTGGAAGATATTGAAAGCTATTCACGCAGAATATAAGCTGTAGGTTTCCTCCGCCTTTTTTCTTAATTTCATTTTTTAAAAAATAATTTATTTTAGGATGTATAAATCTGGAAACTTTGTGCGTTGAAATTTCCAGGAAAGTGTTTGATAAGCAGTAATATTTCTCCCATACCTCCAGTCCAAGTACATTTCAAAATTAGGAGCAGAAAATAAAGGCGTGTTGGTAATTGATTCAAGATTTTATACTGTGAAACAACTACTGACTTTCAGTAATCTGATAAAATAGAAAGTAGCTCCCAAAGACGAAACTGACAAGTCTTAACTGACAAGTCTTTCTTCCTTTGATTATAAATATATATCACACTTATCAGGAAAATATTTTTTTGAATTTAACCGTTTGATATTGTTGGAAATCACTGAAATGTTCACATCAGTCACATTAGATGAAAAAGAATACATATCTACCTGATTTTGTAACTAAAAAGCTGAGTTGTGAGTGTATGTTGCAGGTGGATTAGATGCCTTTTTAAAGGAAAAAAAAAAAGCCTCACTGTTCCAAATGTATTTTATATGAAAACATTCTTTATTCCATCTTTTGAAATTTGGAATAGGACAGAGTTTTCATGTCTAAAATTCACAGAAGCTATTGAGAGTATGCTATTATTCCTCCTGTATTTATGCAAGCTGTCTGCATGATATCCTGTGATATCCTGACACTATTCTATTAACTGAACTTGAATGGAGCATTTGTATCTATCTTAGAGTGAAGTAATTTATTGGTCATCAATAAGTGGTATGGCTGCAATTTAGGAACTGCAATATGGTGTGTTTTATGTCTGCACTGTCTTAATAAAAACAAGAAGCATTTATAGAAAAACCTGTTTTCATGCTCCGAGTTATTTGTATGGCACTTTTCTTGAAATACACATCCCCATCCAAATCCTAATTTCACATTTTGAATGGGGCTGAGAGAAATAACTCCCACATGGGAGGAATGTCCATTGCTAGGGTGGGCATTTTATGGAATTATCTCTAGGGTTTAACAGGACTCCTGAAGGCCAAGAGAGATCTGTTGTATTTTGAAGGGAGAAGCAGCTTACCCACCCACTAGTATAACATCCACTAAAACTAAACTCTGTTGTTAGATTTTGTTCTCAGTTTCTGCTAAATGTTTTCAGGGTCCTAATGGTTTAATGTTCCCAATACTAAGAGTCACATTTCAGAGACTAGTTTTGAGTTGTTTATACCTCCAACAAGTAACTTGTGTTACTTCTATATTCATTTTTCTTTTACTTTTTGTTTACTTCCAGTGCTGACATTGTTTGTATTCACAACTGTTTAGTTGCACAAGTCTATCTGCACATGTATGTGTGGCGTGTGTGCTAGTAGCAGAACTTGACTTTGTGGGTGTAACAATGTGTACATATGTGCACACACATGTTTGTTATTTCACTCCCTCAAATTGCCAACCTGGAAGTCTGTCTAAAGTTACTTGGGGTCCAGCTTGCTTCTTAGAGAGTTTATTTATGTTCCTTAGAGGGAGGTACACCAATGAACTAAAGTGAATTATTCCTCATAAATGAGAAAGATATCTGAATTACCTCAGTCACAAGGCACATTTTGCTTCTTTCATAGGTTGCACATGTAAATTTCTTGTAATGAGAAATTTGAGTTAGACTACTTTAAAATAGATACAATTAGTAGTTCAGTACCTAAACTGGGTGAGGGGTTTTGTTTGTTTGTTTGTTTTTTGTTTTTCTTGGCTGACTTTGTATTACTGCTAATTTCTGACTTCCTTATCAGGAATTAAGTGACGGGATAGAGTAATGGAAAACTTTTGTTTGATTTCCAGTGGTTTTCAAGTGTCCCCCGTCTTGTGGATGTGCTTTTCATTCCTACATCATGTGGGAAGTCCTGGTACACCAGCGCCTTAGATAGACAAAACAGGAGTTTAAAAAGTAATTGTTGACATGGTCAGTGAGTTGTAGAGAGGGCTCGTGGTGACAGTGGAGGGCTTTTCTCCCTTCTCGTGGAAATTCTCATCTTCTTGTAAGAGCTTTACTCAATTCTGGACTCATCTCCAGCTCAGTGTTAACTGCCAATAAAGTCACTGTAAAAAGCCAGCCCTGGTCTGGTTTGCACACCTGCTCAAGAACTCAGGGTTTCCATAGCCCAGGTTCTGCTTAGGTTCTGGAGCTGAAGTTTAGAGTTATCATCGTGATTCTATAGAGTCTAAATTTCAAGTGAAAGAAACTCATCTTGCAGGCAATAAATTAAATACTCAGCCGCTGAATGCAATACGATTTGGCAAATGGTGTCCATATCTAGAAAGAACCTTGATGTGGGGTCTAAAGACTAGTAATGGCACTCAGGAGATGTGAATCATTATGGGCTCTCTCCTT